TCAAAGTTAATCAGTGATAAGTATAAGCGATATGAAAAGAGTATGAGAGTCTGAAGAAAAAATATGATATATGTTACAAGGAGATTTGGATTTGTGGATGAGTAAAGAGATAAGGAAATTAAATGAAAAATGAAATTAAAGGGTTAAGTATGATAAAGGTTATATGGAAGTGTAAATGATAAGTTCGATATAGAAATACGAAAAGTGTGCAAGGTGATATGAAAAGATTGTTTAATTCTATAAAGTATATGTTTAATCACAATTGAAGAAGATTTAAAGTCGTGTTTTGGTCAAATGATTATGGAATAAAAGGTTGGTATTGTGATAAGGTAATTAGAGATTAATGAAGAAATAAATTGATTTATGATATGGAGTGGTGAGAATGAAGGTTACTGTTTATATGATAAGTGACAGTAGGTGAATGAATAAAGGAAAAAGTTAGTTGAATAACTAAAGGAATGAAAGAGTAAGTAAAGGAGACAACATAAGAACATTAGGAGATATGTTCTTATAAATGTGTGTAATGAAAATTCGAGGATGAATTTACTTAAAAGGATGGGAGATTTGTAACATCCTCAATACTGGGTTAGTGACTAAATTGTAAAATTTTAGAATTTGGGGATAAAAGTATAATAGTTCAATGATTTATGTGGAGATATTTCCTAAAAGTTGTTAGTAATTATTAAAGGAATTAAAGGGCAAAATGGTCATTTGACTTAGAAATGAATAAAATAATAATATATATGGGGATAAGGTTGAGAGATTTCTCTAGAAATCTCTTCACTCTTCATTTTTCATTATTCTTCTTCTCCAACGTGAGACACTCAAAGCAAAGGTGAGTTTTCTGATTTCTTAGTTGTTTGTTGATTTTAAGCATGGGTTTTGATCATTAGATGATAACTAAGCTTAAGGAAAGCTTAAGTTATCTTAAAAACAAAAGATAAAGGAGTTATGATAGGTTAAAGAAAATGGGGTTTTAAGTAAAATTTTGAATAAAAATGTTTAAATGAATTTGGAGGATGAATTTGACTTGTCATCTATGAGAATAAGAAGTTAGAATTAAGTTTGGATAACATGGAAAATTTGGTATGATTCTTAGCCTTAAGAATTTGGATGAAATATGGAAGATTATAAGGTGTTAGAATGATAGGAATTGGTTAATGTTGTTATAGATGAATTTAGTAGCATAATAAGGATTTTATACATGAAAATTTGGGTGAAGTGTTGATGATTTTCGGATGAAATAGCCTATTATGGGCAGGTGCATCAATGTACTATGAGTGTGTACCGATGCACTAAGATAAATTTTGAAGGTGCATCGATGCATTAAGGGGTGCATCGATGCATGGGAATTTCGAATCTATTTTGTGTACCGATGCACCCATAGTGCATTGATACACCCCTAAAGGAAAAAAATAGAATCTTGGTTCATTAAACTAGCTTGAGTTATTAATATCAAGTTATAAGATTGAGGCTTTTGATAATTGTCTCAGAAATTATGTTTATGTAGATATTGAGCCTAAACAAGTTTCGGAACAATTAAAGAATTAGGATTGAATCAAAGTAAGGCTAAGGTGAGTGCAATTTTAATAGTACTTATGTTATTGAACGAACATTGGCTTGCGATAAGCCAGTGATGGAGCTACTATGGTAAGAAGTGACTCCTAAAATGTTATTTGATTTGTGATTCTGATATGTGCATGAATACATGAAAATGATTATTTTATATTATATGTGACTTGATATACATGTTTATATGAATATGGAATATGCATTACATGTTATATGAAATGACATAGATGTTTACACATACATATGACATGTGACAGAAAAAAAAGTGTATGTGATCACAGGAGAAATGACATGAGTACATGAACATATGAAACATTAGAATAATGCCCACGGTATATGATATGAGAGCTATAGGTATAGTTGGCATGCCAATAATCAAGGGTTCTACGTGGTCCTTCGGGACATATATGTAATCTTTGGAACATTTACAGGGTCTTGTGAGACACATATGTGATCCATTGTAATATGTATATGGTTCTTAAGGAGTGGTCCTTCGGGAAAAATTCATATGCCCCTAGTGGGACCCCATACGAGCTATGGTGACAGCAATAGTGCACAACCTCAATGTACTCGAATACATTGAGTTCTCAGTAATGTACATGGGCTTACAAAAAGGTATAAAAGTTTTTGCATTATTACATGTTATCATGCTATTATTATTTACATGGAATCATATGTGACTTGATTGAATGAGTAGACGATATGTTCATATGGATATGAAATGCATTATTTTTATTATATGTTTTATATGCCTCACTAAGTGAACGACTTAGCGTGTGATTGTTTCACACGTAGGTTTCGAGAAGAGGAAGATTGATAAAAGTTATGCAAGACAGGTCAGTTTCTCCTTTCCAAAGATCATATCAGAAGAGAATTGAATAGTATGCATTTTGTAATAATGATAGTGGTTGGCATGTAAATAAAGGTTTGAATATGATATGTTTTAATCGGTTTTGTTAAAATCATATGATAGAGTTTTGTAATGTTTTAAACGTGTTTCTGTAAATAGCAAATGTATAATAATGAAAGGTTAAATTTTTACGAGTTTTATGAACGTTTTATGAAAGTTACTGTAGCAGTGCATCGATACACAATTGATATTCGAAAATTTTCACTGTTTACGGTACTGTTCATGGTATAGTTCATACCGTATAGTACTATTCATAAATATGTATTTTTTCCAAATTTTTTATAAAGAGCATAATTCAACAGTATATTATTGTATTTTATTAAAATAAGTCCAAAGGTTCTGTATTTTGTTAAGAATAACGTTTTAAAAAGTCAATGTGACATCTCGGACTCGTATCTGGGTCTGGTACGGGTTGGAGTGTTATAGATCTTCGATCCCAACTATTTGTATACGTCCTTGATTGAAGATATTTTGGTGTATTACGCTTAATATGGTTATACCCGATGTAACCTACTCCTACGAGTGTTTTTAGGTATGTTTGGTCATTTTTGTCCCTTAGAGACTAAGTCTTACTATTATGGATCGCCTTTAGATCTTACGGACCTTAAAGGGGTCAAAATAACATTCAACAACATGTAGGACCTTTAATGAATGCAAATCCATCCTTTTTCCATAGAGAATAACAGAGAAGGGATCGATCCTTTCTTTTGAAGGATCGGTTCTTTTTAAAAAGGGATCGATCTTTTATTGGACAGAAACTTTGGGATCGATCCCTTTTATTGGACAGAAACTTTGGGATCGATCCCTTTTATGGAAATGACTTGCTTAAGCTCGAGAATCACTCAAAAATACCCCAAATGACATGGGTTGGTTTCTAAACCTATTCAAAAGCTTTAGTAAGTTATTCAATGTCTTAAGACATCATTTAAACATAATATTAACACCTAAAACGTGATTTGGTTGAGAAATCAAATATAAACCCTAAAATACCCAAATCACCAAATCTTAGCAAAACCCATAGATTTATGAAACCTTAATACTCTAGAGGATTAGAAATACACTACCTTGGATTTAGAAACCCAAAATGAAGCTCATTTTTCTATCAAGTACCCTATTTTTTGAAATTGGTTGATTTTCTCACCATTTTCCTCGAACAAAAAATAAAGACAAGATTCTTAACAATAAATGGAAATCATGAAGATTAGGAACGGATTGAAGCTTAAGAAGGTAAGCAAGAAACCTCCATCACTCATCTTGAGTTAAGCACTTGCTATGGAGGAAGAAAATGGAGAAAGAAGAGAGAAATGAGGAAGATAAGAGAAGATGAGAGAACCCCCACGTGAAAGCTTGATATAAAACCCTAACATCAGCTTCCAAAATCTTCAATGGTCTAATTGCACTTTTGGTCCTTTACATTTTATCTTATATTCAAAAATCCCCATTTTTATGACTAATAGGTCCCCAAAGCCAATCTAATTAAGCCCAACAACTTAATTTATAATTTCACATGGTCTACTTACCTCTCGGATAAACCCGAAACTACCAACTCATAGTTTGGGGTGTTACATGACATGATCTAAAGGTGGACCTAAACCAAAAATCAACTGATCTGATATTGACCCGACCCAAAAATCAACTGATCCAATATTGATTCGAACCGAAAAATAATCGATCCAATAATCACCTGATCCGATTCACCGTACATCCGAACTAGATCCGAACCAGATCTGATCCGATTCGGACAAAATTAAACCGAGATTAATCAAGACCCAAAATTACCCGACCCGAAATGACTCGACTCGAAATGACTCGACTCAAACCCTATCCGAATGACATGTTTGCCACCTCTATCTAAATCCAATACCTTAGCCTAACCTACCCTTTATTAACGTTTTTATTCGTTTACATGGGGCATATGCTTCTATACTAATGAAAAAAAGAAAAATTCCAGTGAGATCTGGTGAGATCTTATAAAGATATGCCTATGTCCCCTTTTGTATATTTGACAACTTGTTTTTTTCTGAATTCCTTCGGGGGTTTTTAATTTTGTTTATTTCCATATTGAAAAGTATAGTGTTATTAACAAAACAGGTTGACGAATTTTTGGATGTTAGAGACTTGAATGTTTAGTTTAAGCCCCCCATCCAATATTGTCGGCTATACAAAGAATGACAAAGCAGCAGTTACCGAATTATTGATTAGCTAAAACGTAGAGTGCCAGCTCAATGTGCAAAATATGTATACGAGCCTATGAGATCAGGAGGACCGAGTCGAGCAGAGCAGGTGAACTAATTTGGTTACTGTTCTGCTCTTTTATCTTGTTCTTTTCTCACATGGTTTTATTCTTATTTTAGTGCAAAACAAAATATATATGACCCTTTAAATCTGTATCCCTATCATCATTTTTTGTGTGTGAAAATTTCGCTTTTGAGTAAAGTATAGTATTAAAGTATATCTTAGGTAAGGGGGTATTAAAGTATATCTTAGGTAAGGGGCCTAACGGGCTTCATCATCTTAGTTCCAATCAACCTCTATAAAACCCTGTTTTCTAGATCTCAAACAGCATCAAACTCTGCTTTCTTTCACAAAATGGCAGCAACCGGCTTTCTCGGTATTATCATTCTCATTATCACCTTTAGTATAGGTTCAACTGATGCTCAATTACAGATGAATTTCTACGCTAAAACCTGCCCCAAAGCTGAGGAAATCATCTCAGATTACGTTAAACAACACATCCCCAATGCCCCATCACTGGCTGCCACCCTCATTCGAATGCACTTCCATGATTGCTTCGTCAGGGTTCGTATTTTTTCCATCTATTTTTTTCATCTTAATATGATAAAAAAATAGTAGAATTCAAAGGCTAGGAATTGTTTCTTTTTTTCCAGGGCTGTGATGCTTCAGTGCTTTTAAACTCCACAAATGGCGAAAAGAATGCTGTCCCGAATCAAACACTTAGGGGCTTCGATTTCATCGACAGAGTGAAAAGCCTCCTCGAAGCAGAATGTCCCGGCGTTGTCTCATGTGCCGACATAATCACTTTAGTTGCCCGGGACTCGATCGTCACCGCCGTAAGTAAATCGAATCCGTTTTATTGGTAATAGTAGCGTGTAAAACCACTAACAGGATAGTTTTCTTCCTACAGGGTGGTCCATCTTGGCAAGTTCCAACAGGAAGAAGAGACGGAGTGATCTCCAATGTCACCGAAGCAAACAACAACATTCCAGCCCCTTTCAGCAACTTCACAACTCTCCTTAGACTATTCAACAACCAAGGACTCGATACGAACGACTTGGTTCTCCTCTCGGGGGCTCACACCATCGGCATAGCTCACTGCCCTGCGTTTTCGCGTCGGTTGTACAACTCGACCGGCCCCGGTGGAGTTGACCCGACGCTCGACAGCGAATACGCCGCTAATCTAAAGGCGAACAAGTGTAGGACACCCAACGACAACACCACAAAAGTAGAGATGGACCCTGGGAGCCGTAAGTCCTTCGATCTTAGCTACTACACTTTGTTAACAAAAAGAAGGGGTCTCTTCAATTCCGACGCTGCTTTAACTACCGACTCGACTAGCGTGGCGCTCATCAACCAGCTTCTCTCGAACCCTCCGTCCTTCTTCTACGCTCAGTTTGCTAAAGCCATGGAGAAAATGGGTCGGATCAACGTCAAAACCGGATCCCAAGGACAGATAAGGAAGCAATGCGCTTTTGTCAACAGTTAAAATCTTCTTTTTTCTTCTTTTGTTCATGTGATGAGTGATGAATAATTGAGCTCACTGTTTTCTTTTCTTTTGATGTGATCTTTTGGGTAACTGAGCTCATTTAATAATGTTAACTGTGTTGTGTATTTACCTGGATTGTTGAAAAACTAATTATTAATTTATCAGCTTTTCCTTTCATACTTTATTCTCTATATAAATTTATATATGTCTCGTATTTAATTTTTAACTAGTGATTTTTAGTTTTTTTTTTTGAAGATTATATAAAATATAAAAATATAAGATACTTTCGAAATAATATTTACAATGACATCAATGGAAATAGTACACTAACACCTTTGAGATTTGGTGAAAACTTCACTTACCAACCTATAGTTTCGAAAAGTACATGCATTTACCCTCTAAGGTTAAATGCAAAGACAATGGGGTTTATATATATATATATATATATATATATATATATATATATATATTGTATTTATTTTCCCCTTTTTTATTTTAAATTATAAACTAATGAAAAATTAACTTAGCTGATAATATATTGAAAACTGTAAAGTTAAATTCTAATTAAATTGTATTAGACTTCAACTAAAATTAAGTATTTTAAATATATATATATAATTCAATTATACATAAACTTTGAGATGAATTCATTCAAATTTTTATTAAAAATACCATATATTTTCTATAAAATCTTACAAAACGTACATTGAATAAAAATTATCACAGCTAATGAAAATAAATATACTAATAAATAATAGTTCAATGATAAATTCATCACCAAAATTTCAAGCGAGTATTTTTCAAACTATATGGGATAAGTAAAATTTTCACTAAATTTCAGGAAAAAACATATTTACCCTAAAATTAATTATCATTTAAAAAATTATATATATATATATATTATTGAGTGCTTTACTCCATTTGGAACCTTGGTCAAAATTATAGCTTGCATGTGATGATTCTCTTCACTTTTTTCACGCATATATTAAAGCATCGACTACATGATAAAGCATAACCTAGAGAAAACTAGTAGGGAGAAGAAAAAAAAAGCTATTTATTCTTAAACTTAAATAATTGGTTGTGGGTTAAGAAAAGGAAAGTTGGTTATAGCAAGAACAACATTTTTTTAATTAATTATTGGTATTCGATCTATTGATCGATTAATCCAGATCATGTATTACAAAGGCGAGGGCGACCCTCCCAATCCAGTTTACTCCATTCGCAAACGCCAAGATTCAAACACTTACCTTGCTTAAGGGACCTAGTGTCTCATCCCAGTAGACCAACTGATTGTTGGTAACAACTTTAATTATATGGTCTCGTAGTATTTAATCTAATGATCAACTAATTCGGATCGGTTAATACAGAAGCGATGACGACCCTCCCAACCTAGTTTGTTCCATTCGCAAACGCTAATATTCAAACATTTACCCTTGCTTTCACTCAAAGGATTAAATTAAGACTCTCTTGATTAAGCTTCCCAGTGTGAGTAAAATTATAAATCATCATTGATTTTCATTTAAAGCGGACATTTTATTACTTTCTCCATCCCACCGATTTTCTCCTTTATTAATTTTTAAAATTTAACCATGATTATTTTAAATAATTAAATTTTATAATGTATATTTAAAAATTACTTGATCGAAGGTTTTTCAAAATATAATTTTTATATTCTTATTAATAATAAATTTTAAATAATAATGAGTTAAAATTGAAAATAAGAAAATTAATAGTAAACATATATAGTTTAAGGAACCCTAGGTCCACAGTTATTGGTCTATATCTCTAATCACATTGAAGACCGTGTCGCTTTAGAGAAATCAATGGATGATTAGCATGGACGGTGAATGAACTTGGACTATCATATGGAACATTGTGTAGAATAATATTAAACACATTTGCACGTTTCACTTTTGAGTTTATTCATTCCTGGATTAACGAGATCTAAGGGTTCGTCTAGTATTATTTAAGAAAACATAATGTCAAAATTAATATTAATTAAAATGGTTAGTTTTATTTATATATTGTTAAAGTATTTTTAGCTTTATATGTTTTATTTTTTTATAAAAAGACCCTTAATATTTTATTGAATAATCATTTTGACATTTATTTTTTTAACATTTTGATCTTTTTAACGTTTAATTTTAGGGTTAAAGTTTTATTATTTTAGAGCGTTAATCATTTGTTAACTAATAATTTTCATTTACAAAAAGACTTTTTTTACCTCAAAATGAATCCTTCAAAGCTAAAATATTCTGAAAATAATAGAGGTTAAAGTGATTATTTAATCAAATATTAGATGTATTTTATGACATTATGCATTAAAAATATTTTTAAAGGGGCAAGCAGAAGAAGCAATAGATACTCACAATCGCTGATCATATGTTACGATTGAGTTGAACTAATACATGTTTATCAACGTGTCATTATTATTATACTTTTTACGTTAGTATTGATGATTTTATACTTCCTCACCAACATAACTATTTATTTGTATCTGTTAATTATTCGAGTTACTTGATTAAGGCGTTAATTTTTTTCATCTTTTTATTAGATAACTAATTTACGCACTTTAATTATTTTAAAATATTTTATTTTTATAAAATAATCTTATATTTTTTGTCGAAACGGTTTTTTTCGAGGGGAAAAGAGGTCTCTTTTTAAAATAATTTTTGGTGACTGGTTAATGATAAAACGTGGTTCGAGGAATCGTCATCAATCTTTGATTAGGGTGTGATTGGGCACCCTAAACTGAATTTATCATTTTAATAAAATATTATTTTTAATTAAAACAATAAACTTGAGGTTTGCGTTATCAAAATTCAAGTTCGGGAGTCAGTTACGTGTGTGGGAAGGATTAGCACCCCCACAACACCCTAAATCGGTACCTAGCCGGTTAATTAGTTGTCTTTGCAATGAAATTTACGAGTTCGAGTCTAATTTAATTTAAGATCCCCTAAAATAACATTCTTTGAATTTTTGGACTAAACATGACAATATTTAATTATTTCCTATCGAGAAAAATTAATCTCTCATACCTTAAAGCAATCGATTCTTACTCCAATCAAAATAAAGAAATATTAAAATTTCACTCTAAAGTTTATTATTAATTCAAAATAACAACACCCAAAATAATTTTAAGGGAGAATGATAATATCTAATTATTTATAATCGATAATAAATGACCTCTCATACCTTAAAGCAATCATTTATTACTCTAATCGAAATGAAGAGATATCACTATTTCGTCTTAAAATTTAATATCTATTCGAGTGAAAACGATAATATCTAATGATTTCCAATCTAGAATAAATGACCTCTCATACCTTAAAGCAGTCGTTTATTGCTCCAATCGAAATGAAGATATATCACTATTTCATCTTAAAAATAGATATTAATTCGAGAGAAAACGACAATATCAAATTATTTCCAATCAAGAATAAATGACCTCTCATTCCTTAAAGCATTCATTTATTACTCTGACCGAAATGAAAAAATATTACTATTCTTAATATTGATTCGAATGTTATTATTTTAAAAACCTATTGAGAAAACACATGCAAAAATAAAGTGAATTAAAAGCATATATCAAGCAAGTATAATTAATTATTTATTTTACCAATATTTAATGAGAATGAGGATGTTCAATTATTTAAATATCTCGAGACGAGACCTTAGATTCGATCTAACAGTCTTTTCTCAATGAATTTAATTAAAAGAACATGATATTTTCTCAATCCCAAAATTTGAAAATGAATTCGATTTAATTCATGTCACTAAATGGAATAGACTTTCATTTTAAAATTATCGAAAGTAACTTTCTTATATGTTAAGACAGTCACCTTACAACAATATTAAATGATCGAATATTACCCTTAGTCAATTTAGTTCGATTCGAGTCAATTGATGCTTGTGAATGTATCATGCAAAATTAATTAGGACTAAAATGAACTAACATGCAAGCAACACGCAAAAATTAAAATAAAATAAATATAGGACTAAAACATAAAAAATCAAACGATCATGCCAAAATTAAAACAAAATAAAGTATACAAGTGACTAAAATGAGCATTTTCAATATTAAGTGCTAAAATTACAATGAATAAAAATAAATAAAACATGGGGACTAAATTACAATAAATTAAAATTGCATGGACAAATTAAAATAAATAAATAAAGATTTGGTGTAACACCCCCAACCCGTATCCGACTCGGATACGAATCTGAGGTGTCAATTGACTTTTCAAAACATTTATTTTTAAAAGATATTTGAAAATTTAAATATACATTTGTATAAAAAGGGTGGAACCTTTGATCAAAAGAAATAAACATAATTCAACTTATTGTGAAAACAGAAACATAATAATTTACATCAATATAATAGTGTATATTACAAAAACGATCAGAGCATATGTGATTCAAAGCATTAGTTACATGCCAACACATTTAATACAACAAAGTACATACTGTGCAAATCACTTCTGATCTGATCTTCTGGTAGAAGTATGTTTTCTTGATTGATCCTAACTTTGTTCTTCCTACTTCTCTGTATCTACGTGTGAAACACTCACACGCTAAGTCTTTGACTTAGTGAGGCATATATGCATAAAGGAAACATTTTAACATGCAATCATATACTTGATTTCTATAAACAACATAGTATACACAAAACATTATGCATTTCATCAACCAAGACATATATAATATCATGCAATATTTATTCATGTTATTTCTTTTTATAACCCATGGTACATCATTGAGAACTTAGGGTGTGTTTGGTTGGGGAATGTGAGATTCTCAAGGGAATGAGATCCACATTCTCCCGTTTGATTGGTCGGGAATGTCATTCCCGGTAATCTTACATTACCAATAGTGGATTTTTTTGGGTATATTACCGGGAATGTCGTTACCTCCCTTTCCTTAGGTATTGTTGGATTACCAGCGTTTTGGACTAAAATGCCCTTAAATTTTTTTTTCTTTAAAAAATATCCTTATTTTGTCATTGAATAACAAAAATTCTACGAAGGTTAAATTATAAATTTATCCTTAAACTATTTTAGATTTACAAAAAAATTCTATAATTAAAATTTTATATGAAGTTCAGAGATTAAAATAAAATTTTACTCTTTCATTAAACCTTTTTATATTTTCAAGTTTATAAAAAAAATATATAAATT